CTTCAAATTATGGATTTTAAGTAATTTTAATTGGAGCATTTTTACGATATCTATTTTCACATATAGAAGCATTATTAGCTAATAAATAATACTCTACTCTTAAGGATTATGCTTTTTTTACAGCAAAAGGTTGAAAATGACTATGTAGTTTTTATTGTTAGAATTAATATGAGGAGAATTATACAAATGTAGTTAAATTTTATTTAATCAGACAACATCTAAAGAAAGAATAGTGACCTCTAAAGAAAGAATAAAGAAGTCGAATTTATCTATAATTTGATTCATTATTTTTAAACTGCCCTTCCTCTTCAATATATAGAGAAGAATGGTACTAAACTTTTCGAAAGATATTATAATCTATTGCAAAGCTTAACACTTATTTATATTAGAGAAACAAGATTAAATTCAAAAACTTATTGTGCTTAAATTTGACAAGAAAGAGAATATCCAAAGTGATTATATTCGATAGTTGATTTAAAATAAATTGCTTAGAATAAACCTTTATTTCTTCTCTTTAATAGACTTTTAAATATCTAATTTTATTTTAAAGAAGATTAATTAAAGATGTTTTCATGAATAATCAATTCATAAATGTTCTTAAGAATTATTGTATTCAGGAAAGGATGCTACAGGTAAACTATACCCTTAATAAATTAATAAAAAATATATGGTTTAACACTTTTGTTTGAGAATATATTATTTTTATATTAGAATTAGCATCATAAGGGTCAAAACTGATAAGAGTTTTCTAATAATTATACTTTAATAAACTTAATTTTTATTAATGAAAACATGTTATATTGTATTTTGATTATTAAATTAATTTCTAAAAAAAAAACTGTTCATTACAAAACCAGTAATTACTAAAGGAAGTTATCCATAAACTTATTTTTAGCTCTGCATTAGATTTCTGTTTTAGATTGTTCTAATATAATCTAAATATTAGTAAAATAGATATGTTTTTAAAGAAACAATTAATTAATATATAAATATATTATTAAAGTTTAAAATAGATAATTTTATCTTATTTATTATAAATCAGAAGAAAATAAACTAATCAGGAAAAAATAAATCTGAATCATCTTGACATTTGACTTTTATAAAAGATTAATTAATTAATTTAATTAAAATTTATGGATTAGGCATTTTTAATTTCTCAAATTTAACCTAAAAATTAGATTTGTTTCAAATGTGGAGAAGAAATTAAAGGAATGATTTGTTGGAGAGCTTTTAAGTGGTCTGCACTTAGATGTTTTATTTGGTTAGTTATTTTGATTCCTTCTCTATTCTTTTTCCAATATTAAATAGGCATGTTATGGGCATTTTTATCAGGGATGTTATTTTTGATGTATTTTATTATTCTGTTCTAATAATGCCACTAAGGAACACAAAAACCTAGATTTGATCACTGGGAAAGGGAGTAAAGAGAGTTATAAGAAAGGGAATTTGAGAGATTCATAAGAGAATATGAAATGAAAAATTGATTGAATTCATAAACAAATATTTAATATTAAGAAATAATCATATTCGAATTCAAAATTTAGTCTTTATTTTCAAACTTTTATTCTTCTAACAAGAGAAAAATTTATGGAATATATTTTATAGAATGCATAATAATATAAATTATTTAGATATTTAGAACTTTAATGAATATTGTATAAATGTGAAATAAGATAATAATAATTATTATTATAAAATAATGAATATATTAGATATCTAAAATGAATTTAAGAATTAAGAATCATAAATATTAGATTTATCTATTTTTTAATTATGTAAACGAATGCTGTTATATTTAATAAACAATACCATCTTTAATTAGTATTTACTTATCTGCCATTAAATAAATATATTTTAGAATTCATTATCATCAAATATATTTAGTTGATTTTTGTCGTATTTACTAATAAATAATCTATTTTTGGTTAGTAACTTTATTGTTAATTTATTAATCAATTGTAATACTAGTTATTTATATTCAATATTGAACTAACCAATTTATAAAAAAACTCAAACTTAATTATTTTTAAATAATTATAACTTATTTTTATTTTTTGCTTTATTTATCATAATTCACTATGCCCCTTGTCTAATTTTTTCTAATTTCTATTTCCATCCAAGTTCCAATCTTTTTACCTTCTCTATATTCACCTTTATAAACAAGTTATTAGGACACAATAAACTAATCTTTCACATCAATCCATTCTCCTACCTTCAAAGAGTCTTATTCATTGTAAGATCCACCACCACTAAAATTTGATATAATATGGTATTCTAATTTTACATTAGCACATTTTAAAAATCCCCATAATTCTTCTTCAAATAACTACTCCA